AGCGACTCAGGGGGCCCAGACAGGAGGATTGCAAGTTCAAGACCAGCCTCAGCAACTTAGAGAGGCCCTAAATAAAAGGCTCAGGATGTCTCAGTAGTAAAGCACCAGTAGGTTCAATCCCCAGTGCCAAACCAAACCAAACCAAAAAAGAAAATCAGTTTTAGTAATCAATCTTCTACTAAAGGATATTATGGCTACTTTTTTTTTAATAACATGCTTATTTATTTATGTTTATGTGGTGAAGATTGAACCCACAGTCTTGTGCATGCTAGATGCGCACTCTACCCCTGAGCCACAACCCCAGCCCTATGGCTACTTATTTTAATTATTATTCAAGTGAACAAAGGGTAGGAAGTTGTCAAAGAATTATTCCAAAATTTAAATCTTAATTATTAAGAAAATGAATTACACAGTGGAAATTTTTGAACACTATACCTGACAGTCACTAAAGCAAACAAAGCTGCAGTCTGAGAGAAAGGCTTTAAAGCCACAAAGAAAAGAAAGAAATGAACACATTTATAACGCTTTCTAAATTGTCCAGCACAAATGACCATGGTTTATGGCAGACCTGGTTTCTGGATTGATGGCACAAAACCAATCATTCATTTTACTTAAGAGAAAAACAGGAAAAAAGTGTCTGTCATAAGATCAATAAACTCAAGAGTGAAAAACCATGTTTCCTCAAACAAATTCAGGATGATAAAGAATTTCACAAAATAAAAAATCCAAATTCTTTCTTTTATGGACTCTCAAAACACTGAAAAACAGATCCATGCAGTTTTTGTAATTTCAAATTTGAAGAAAATATGGATGAAAATCTTAAGACAGGGAAGATTTTTCTAAGTACACCACAAAAAATGTGGACATATAAAAAAATTAACTCGGTATGACAACAGCTCAAGAGGCTGAAACGAAAAATGCCTGCAACACAGGGCAGTCAAACAATTACTATTTCTTAATCTACAAAGAGGTATTACTAGCTAGTGAAAATTCAACTACTCCTATAGAGATAAATGGATAGAAGGCATGAAAAGCAATTCACAAGACAACCAAAAAACTTTGCATCTCGGAGAAATTAAAAAAGATTGACAAATCCAGTCTTGGTGACAGGGTACAGACAAACACAAGTGGTGGGAACATGGGGTTAAGGGAATAATTCTATAAATTGGGCCTACTGTGTTGACCCCCACATGCTTTCTTTTCTAAGAAGCAATTTGCCTGCAATCCTGTCTGGCTTAAGTGGACCGGCTATGTCACATTCCTCAGCAAACTACCTGCAGGAGAAATGCAGGCCCAAAATAATATCAATAAGAGAAACCCAAGTTACCCTAAAGGGGGAGACTTATATGACCCTTTTCACAGACCAGATCCCAAAACTCAGGGAGATAAGGGTAATTCCTCTTAACCATAAAATATTTAAGACCTAGATTTGTCACGGCAGTGAGAACTTCCAAGTCTCATGCCACCCTGCTGTCAGTCAGAAGTCTAGAAGAGGTGGACATAGGCAGAAAACTCTGGAAAATTCTCTGGGATCCCTAATAGACCTGGAACTCCACCAAGATTTCATCTTACTTGAGTCAGAATAGCAATTATCAAGAATACAAGTAACAATAAATATAGGTGAGGATGTAGGGAAAAAGATACATTCATTCATTGCTGGTGGACTGCAAACTGGTGCAACCACTCTGGAAAACAGTATGGAGATTCCTCAGAAAACCTGGAATGAAACCACCATTTGACCCAGTTATCCCACTCCTTGGCATATACCCAGAGGACTTAAAATTAGCATACTATAGTGATGTGGCCACATCAATATTTATAGGGGCTCAATTCACAATAGCTAAGCTATGGAATCAACTGATGTGCCCTTCAACAGATGAATGGATGAAGAAAATGAAGCATATATACACCGTAGATTATTACTCAGCCATAAAGAAGAACTAAATTATGACATTTGTCAGTAAATGGATGAAACTGGAGGCAATCATGCTGAGTGAAATAAACCAATCCCCCCAAAACCAAAGGCTGAATGTTCTCTCTGATACACGAATGTTAACACATAACAAGAAAAGTGGAGAACAGAAGTTCACTGTATCAGACAAAAGGGAATGAAGGGAAGGGAGGATGGGAATAGGAAAGACATTAGAATGAACTGGACGTAACTTTCCTATGTTCATATATAAATACACTAGCAGTGTTAACTCCACATCATTTATAACCACAAGCATGGGAAGTTGTACTACATGTATGTATAATATGTCAAAATACATTCTATGATCATGTATACTGAAAAAAAACCATATAAAAGGTTAAAAAAAAACAAAAAAAATTGAGAGAGGCACATGGTCTATCTCCTCTCTGAAGAGGACCCAAATCTTCCTTTTTCTATTCCTTCAATAAACTCATTCCTTTTTCTCTGAGTGACATGTCTGAAATCCTTCTGATTTGGTTGCAAGAATCAGGGCTTGAAGGGGGAGGGGAGTTTTCATGCTGCCTCAGTTTCCTGGAAGGTCCCAGCTCTGTAACATTGGTGAGGTTAATTCATGTAAGGAAGAYGATGTAAACTGATGCAGCCTTTCACAGTGCAATTTACAACATGTATCAAAATATAAAGGATACATATTCTTTGAATTATTAATGTTACTTCTAGGAATTCACCCTTATAAGATAATTACATAAAGCTTATATATAATTATACACCATAGTGTTGCTTATAAGATAAAGAAAACAAATCAACTGTGAAATAAATTATACATGTTCATATAACAGAAATACCAAATAGCCATTTAAAAATGTTGACAGGAGTTGACAACTAGCTTCTAGCTATGAGGGAGGCTGAGGCAGGAGGACCATGAATTTGAGGCCAGAATGTGCAAAACAGTGAGACTCTCATCATGAGACCCCACTGAAGGAAGGAAAGAAAGGAGGAAGAAGTGAAGGAGGAAAGGATGAAGGAAGGAAGGGAGAAAAGGAGGGAGGGAAGGAAGGAGGAAATAAGGAAAGAAGGGAAAATGTTGACAGTACATCTATATTTGTTGGTATTAAAAATCATCCATAAGACTGTATGGTTTTCAAAATGTCAAATGGTCACACAGACTTTTACAATGATGTCTGAAAGGATGGCCATCAAAATGTTAGCTATGTTGGTGATTTTTATATACTTATGGCATTTTTCTACATATTCAAAATTTTATAAAATTATTAACTTTTTATTATTGGGGGACAGTTACATTATGACAGACTCAAACTGTTCTATTCATAAAGAGATAGATTTTATTTATTTCAGTTTGGTTATTAAGGCCAGCTAGTAGTTTGTAAATTATATTATTGTTACATTGATAATTATGATTTTACAGTTTGTCTTGTCTTGGTCTTGAGTTGCTAGGAGAAGCTTCAAAAATCCTTGGATATGGGCTGGGGTTTTGGCTCAGCGGTAGAGCACTCGCCTCGCACATGGGAGATCCTACCTGGGTTCGATCCTCAGCACCACATAAAAATGAATAAGTGAAATAAAGGTATTGTGTCCAACTATAACTAAAAATTATTTTTAAAAAATCCTTAGACATGTCCAACCACAAAAATGGGTAGTTATACTGCATGTATGTATATATGTCAAAATACATTCTACTGTCATGTATAACTAAAAAGAAAAAAAAATTTTAAAAACTCCTTAAAATTTCTTGAGTACTAGTGGCTTTGAAATGCTAACATTTAGAACCCCACTTCCAGGAGTAGGGGTAGAGCTGGAGATCAAGTTCAATCAGTTAACCAATGATTTAATCAATTATGTCTAGTAATGAAGTGCCCAAAACAACTCTGGATACCAAAGCTCAGAATAGTTTCCAGGATGAACAAATTTCATATGCACAGAAAGTGAAGTACCCAGACACCATGGAGTCAGGTTGTCAAAGATCTGCATTCCCTTCCATACCTTGTGTATATACTTTATAGTAAAACTGCAACTTAAGTATAGGACTTAAAAGCCATTCTAGTAATTTATCAAATCTGAGGACCATGAGAACATCCCATGCTGGTAGCCAGCTGGTTAGATGCTAGTGATCTAGGGACCCTGCTCAGACTTGTGGTTACAATCTAAAGTATAGACAGTTTTATGGAGAACCCTTCCCCTAATCTGTGGGTTCTGCAATAAATCCAGATAGTTAATGTCAGAACTGCATTGTGGTATATCCCGCTGGTATCAGAACAGTTGGGCTGAAAGAAAATGGTAACCATACCAAGTAATGATATAATACTATTTTCTTTTGAAAGTATTTATCAATACTTTCAAAAGTAAAGTGAATGTCATTATCTGGTAAAGGATCAACATCATTGTTATTCAAGTTTTGTAATTTTTTTTTCACCACAAACAACCAAATACAATATGCAAAATGCTTATCTATTTTGGGTACCCAAATGCTTCCTCATCTGTGCCATTCATGCAGCTCTCCCAAGATATACTCCCACCACATTGTGTGGCTCTACTAGAGCATTCATCATTATGTGCTGCATTTGTTTATGCCTCTCTCTCGTATGTGGGACAGTGACTCCCAAAGCAAGGACCTAATCTTCTTCATCTTTTTATTCTCAGTGCCAACTACATTGCTCAGAACATGGTAGTTTAGACAAACAGCTATGCCTGTAAAAAAAAAAAAAAAAAAAATCACTCCACAACGGAAAGTGCTCAAGTAGGTGCTTTGGTTTGAAACCTCACAGTCTTTATGGACTCTTTCACCTAACCTTTCTATCTTCAACTAAATACTGTGTCTGAGAGATCAAACAGATAAGCAAGCTCTATAAGGAAATAGYAAATTAAACTAAGAATTCCTTTAAATATAATAATTTAAATAAAATATAATAATAATAAGAGGATGGTATCAAATATCCTTTTACTTAAAGATTTTTACAGTCTCTTATGATAGAACATTAGAAATGTTGTTAAAGGACTACTACTTATCCCCTGGTGAGCATGCTATTATCCTTCTGTATAAGGATTTACTCACCTTTTAATCTAGCATCACCCCCAAAGGCACCACAACCCCAGTTTCCTGTGGCCACAGCAGAAAGATTCTCTGAAGGAACTCCAGGACGCAGAAATCCACAGTAAGCCTACAAGATGAAAGAAATATCACAGCACATGACTGAATGGACAGTAACAGTATTTCTGACAGATGTACTAGGATCAGCATCTATTACCAAGCTTATATTCTCTCTCCCTCGTTTTTCTTTTTCTTCTTAAGGCCAAAGTAGAGGGGAAAACAAAGAAAGAGTAAAACCTGGGATTATACAAGAGAGAATGAGAAATGACAGATTCTAATATTTATTTGTTTGAATGTTGGGTATATCAAATCCCTTACACTAATACAAGTATTAGTTTCTGTTAGAAATACTGAGGTGCTGTAAGAAATCAAACATATGGTAGGAAGCCAGTAAGGCAAAAACTGTATGTCTGCAGAAGAGTATGTCCCCAAAGGGAATTTTGGTGGGGCAAGCATACCTGGGTAGGCAGTCTGCCAGTTTTTATCCCTAACGAAGTACTGTTTGCTTTGAAATGAAGAGTTCAGGGGTACAATCTACACAATTAGCTGATTTAAAATTGGGGAAGGCATGAAAAGGGGCTACAGTTGTGGCTGGATACCTGTTAGGGAATTTTAAAATGGCTCCATTCTGACCACATGGTTAAGAGGGCTCCACTATACATGTGAAACTTAGTTACAGTAAATTTGCTTGTGTTGCATTACAGATTTAACTTTGATAGAAAAGAAAACATAAGTCTTACAGTTTCTTTTTCCACCTCAGACATATGTGATTATCAGAGATATTTCAAGAACCAATGGGATAACCAAGACAAACTATCAGGAAAGGTACTTGTTCAAATACTGTTTTCTCTGAAGGCTTTTGGTGACCACTTTTGCATCAAAGTAGAGTTACTATGGAGCTTCCTTAGCAGGTTCTTCCCCAGAGTTATTGGGACTAGATTAGTAACTATGATTTACTTTTTTTTAAAAAAATGTTTTATTTGTCAACGGACCTTTATTTTATTTATTCATATGCAGTGCTGAGAACAGAATCCAGTGCCTCACACATGCTAGGCAAACGCTCTACCACTGAGCCACAATCCCAGTTCCACTATGATTCACTTTTGTGCTTCTTGCCATTGGAATGCTTTGTAAAAGCGAGGCCACCGAGGCCACCCAAGATGACAGCCTGCTCACTTCTCCCACAGCTGCCCGGAGAGGTTCTGCGCAGGCCCAGGTGCATTGGGCAATGGCATTGGAGTTACATCCCATGACATGTATTTGACCCCGAAACTTCCTTTAACAAAAAACTAGCAACTATCTATAAAAGGGATTCCTATTTCTGATTATGAAAAAAAACTTTTAAGATTTCTTTCAGTCCTAGAATTCTCTAGTTTCATAGCTGTTTTAAGATAGAATATTCAAAATTTTGCCAGTAACCTGAAGAAAGTACAATATATCCTGAAGATGCTGGCTAAGTATTAATTAAATAAATTTTTTGTACATGAGAAGGTCCCAGAGTTTATGGTTTCTACTTCTTTGCAGTCATCTCAGTCAATCTTTCTGCCTTCTGGGTATACTGTATTAAGAAGATAATATAACAGCAAAACAAATCTTCCCTAGGTTCTCTCAGGTACCAAATAAGCCTAAAATGTAGTCTATATGTAATAGTAAATAGATTAAAAGAGTAAGAGAAAAACCAACAATAGAGAAAGATGCTTCTGTGAAACCCACATGCTGAGCAAATTATTCTCTGAAGTTTCCAGAAAGGTATAAAACTTTATTTTATACACTGTCTGGATGTATTAACAAGGTTATTCCCTCCATCCTCTCCTAGGCTGTAAATTCTGACAGATATTAATTATAAGTTGGTACCAGACCATTATTCAATGCTATGGTACAGAGCTTGCATAAGAACTTACAAATTACCTGTATAATCAGATGCATAGAGCTTCTAAAAATCTCTTTCAGGTCAAAATATCAGACAATTTCATGGGGGAAGGGTAAGTTCTTGAATGATAAAGAATATGGCATTATATGTATAACAGGGAAAACAAACCTCTGTCAGAATAAACGTAACTTTGCCATCTTTCATTTCATTTTTTTTTCCTGGCATGCTTGGACAAAGAGGAGTTCTTGGCTTCCTGGTTCATATTTTGTTTTATACTATCAGAATGTTTTAGTTCCTCACTGCTTCCTCTAAGTAACCAGGTTAAATGTATTTTAATGAGCAAAAACAGTACAGTTTGGTGAACAAGTAAAAACCAAAAGAAAAAATTTGTACCTAGAATTAAAAACTAGATACTAAACAGGAAGTAGTGAAAATAGAGATATAAGAAGGAAGCAAAGACAGTGGAAAAGAGACCAAAGAAAGCATGTATAAAAGTTCCAGGACTGAGCCCAGGAAAGGCATGGGACTCCAGCGTAGCACAAATAAGTATATACATACTAACAACTCTGGTTTCAATATAAATTGTAGCAGGCCCAAGTAGATACACTTAAAGGATGTCTTTCATCATCATGCAAATATATATTATATTGTTATTAAGATTAATAACTTAGTAATTATTATTCCCAGAGTTGTTTATTCATAAAGTCAGTCTACTTGTGTGTTTAGTTTACATTAATACATAGTTGATGTTGCTATTGATTTCTTGAGGTTATTAGTATTCTATGATTTCTTAAAAATAAATACAATATAAAAAGACCCTTAAGGATCTGTTGGAAGATAATAAAGTAATATTACTAAAGAGTCTTTAAGTTATCCTTAGACTCAGTAGTAATATTAGTTTTGTAAATTTCTTCTAAAAAAACAGCATTATACAGATGTTTATTCATACTTTACGTAAAAGAGAAAAATCTGGGACTAATTGCTTAAAAATAGGCTCGTGACTATAGAGTTAAATCACAGCCTATCAATCCAACCAATTTTATTTAATTATGAAGATTTTTAAGAAGTATGAAAAGCATTTATTATATAAAGTTAAATGAAAGAGGTAAAATGCAAAATTATAGGTTAACTTTTGTGTATATTTATATAAAACCAAATTTCATGTGGAAAGACCTATAAAAAATGAAAACAACTGTTTTTGTTTTTAAATATTTATAATTTTTAAATTATAGCTGGATACAGTATCTTTATTTTATATTTGYGTGGTGCTGAGGATTGAACCCAGTGCCTTACGCATGTTAGGCGAGCGCTCTACCTCTGAGCTACAACCCCAGTCCCTGAAAACAACTGTTTGAAAGACAGTATTATGGATAATGTTTTTGTCTTTGAAATAGTTGTAACATTAGTACATTGTTTTTGCTATTTTAAAATGTAATATAAAATGAAAGTCTGTAGATCTGTTTTCTCGTGTGTAAAACTGAAAATTAGTTATCTTGTGATGTTCTGACTCTATATGTTGAGAAACTTAAGGGAAAACTCACTGGAGATGACACATTTTGAACTAATATTCCTAAAAAAGTAAAGTGACACATATTTTAAGAAAAGATTATAAAAAGATCAGGTGTTGAACTTAAAGTATCAGCAGCCAAGTACTGAATRGTTTTATTATAAAGGTTTTATTTAACAATAACTCCATTCTAAATTTGGATAATAATAAATCAATTAAAAAAATCAAGAGGCTGGGGTTGTGGCTCAGTGGTAGAGCACTTGCCTAGCACATGTGAAGCACTGGGTTTGATCCTTAGCACCACAAAATAAAATAAAGATATTGTGTCCAACTACAACTAAAAAATGAATATAAAAAACAATTAAAAATAGAATAACAGTGGCAATCCACTTTGTTCAATTCCTATTTTGGAAGGCCTAATGAAATATATTCATTATGTAATCTTACCTTAAAAAGTCTAACATAGCCAAGTACAACTTTTCACAGGTGATTTCCTTCTTCCCTTGCAGGGTTATCTGCCACTTTTACAAGATGGAGTCATAAATTGTTCCAAAGTCAAAGATAATTCTCCCCTAACATGTCACTCAACTGCCCTCATAGGATTAAATACAGATTTGCACTATCAGTTAAATGGATTCCTTCCTTTTAAAAACGTACTCTGTTTGCTGGTCATAATGTCACTTCAATAGGACAGGAGGGACCTGGAAGGACCAGACCTTTTCCAGAGGCATTAGAGCACTTTGTGGGAATGCCCTTTCACGGAATGTGTAAAAGTAACAAAGAGGCCCTGAGAGCTCAGAGATCCACACTGAATTCTGATGATGAAAACTAGTCTTATGTTTTGTTGCTTCATTTAGAAAAAGGTAATTTTTCTATTCTTAACTTTCTCGCTGGTATGCAAAAAGACACGTGTTCACACACGCACACAAACATACATAAGTCATCTCTAAAACTGATTTGATACAGACTTCTGCTTTAAACCCAAGTTTATAAAACATAATGAAATATAAAACATTAAATATTTCCTTCAAGTTGTGTTGCCAGCTTATGTGGAATTCTTGTTACTTACATCAAAATTCATAAATCTATTTCAATAGGCAAATGTAAATTAATAAGGGATGGAATGCTTTAATTTAGAAGGTCCAAAGTTATTTGGATTAGTCTGTTAAATTAATCTTTCAAAAACACTTAACAAGGACTGGGGTTGTAGCTCAGTGGTAGAGTGCTTGCCTCGAACACATGTGGAAGGCCTGGGTTCGATCCTTAGTACCACATTTAAAAAAAAAATAAAGATATCGTGTCCATCTACAATTAAAAATAAAATAAAAAACACTTAACAAAATCATTTACTGTTTTTTTCCCCCTTTATTAGTGAAAGAATTAGAAAACCAATCTTTGATGAAAGAACAAATTTTAGGAGAATATATCAGTGAATGAAAGAATACACATTTTCAATACTTTCCCATGTGTGAGGCTCTGAGCCAGGTGCTCTTTCATATACTAACAAATTCTCTTCATATACTGGCAAATTCTAGTACATGCAAGATATTTCTTCTTCTCATGGGAATTCAAGAATAGGTTGAGGGGAACGCTCACATTTTCTTGAAAAAGTGTATCAAACAGAAAAGAATATTGAGAAAAGGATTCAATGGATACTTTGTGCATAGTGGAAGTTTATCATCAGAGGACAAGGAGCAACTGAGGCATATGTCTGTATATTATATATTAATCAAAGGCAGAAATATTCTCAATGATTAAAGATTAAACAAGATAAAAAATCTAGAAGATCAGATCTAATTATAGTAATCTCTATATGAGAGGATTTACATTTTTAAAAAATGATCTGAGGCTGGGCTTGGTATACACACCTGTAATCCCAGCAACTTGGAGACTGAGACAGGAGGATTGTTAATTCAAAGTCAGCCTCTGCAACTAAGGCACTAAGCAACTCAGTGGGACCCTGTCTCTAAATAAAATACAACATAGAGCTGAGGATGTAGCTCAGGGTTGAGTGCCCCTGAGTTCAATCCCCAGTATAAAAGAAAAAAAAAAAGGGCTGGGGATGTGGCACAAGTGGTAAGGTGCTCGCCAGGCATGCGCAGGGTGCTGGGTTCGATCCTCAGCACCACATACAAATAAAGATATTGTGTCCACCGAAGACTAAGAAATAAATTAAAAAAAAAATCTTAGTACTAGGGATATAGCTCAATGATAGTGCATTTGCCTAAGCAAGTGTTAGGCCCTAGGTTCAATCCCCACAACTGCCAAAAAGAAAGAAAGAAAAAAAAACCAGAAAAAAAATTATCTAAAGTCAGGGGAACCCAATTTAAGCCCTGGTGTGGTCACTACCCAGCTTTTGGGACCTTAGGCAAGCTACTCAACTTCCTGAGGCTTACTCTACTGTCTCAAAATTGGCAATAAAAACAGTACCTCTGCCTCCTGGGGTAGTGAGGATTAAATCAGACAATGCATGCCTGGCAGGCAGTGGCACATTAATAGACCCAGTTACTTGGAGGCTAAGGTAGGAGAATCTCAAGCCCAGGCCAGCAACTGAATGAGACTCCATCTTAAAAAACACAGCAAAACAAAAACACAGACAATGCATTTAAAATGCTAAGTGGAGTCCCTAGCACATAGTAAGCAATTATTTTATTGATTTTACTATCTTTACCAATATAGTTTGAAAAAGTTTCTGCTTAAATTTGACTGAAAAGAATTTTTCATGAGTTAAAAATTAGACTCAACTGCATATTGACAGAAATAATGGCAGGCAAATTCAGAATGGCATACATTAAAAATCAATCCATCTCCATCATATCCTTCAACTGCTCTGCATTTTACAATGGACTTAAGCTTTATTTAACACTTGGAAATATTTAAAAGTTTATTTAACACTTGGGAATATTTGAGAAGTTGACAATTTATAATATTTTGAGTGCTTTGAGATAATGCACTTCTATAGTTTCTAAAACTTTTGTCATAAAAAAGCCATATTAGCACTGCCTAAGAAGTTATTCGCTTAGTAACTGAGCAAGACATTTAACAAATTATTCTTGAGACATTCCCAATAAGGCAAGCAGTGTGTCAGGCACTGTCTGACCTGAATGAAATAAAATTCCTGTTGCCAGGTTATTTGAAGATTCACTCTTTTTATATAAAGTATGTCTCATAAGCACTCTACATTCCACAGATAAATATTTTTTTAAGGTTTGCAATAATACAACTAACAATGTATTCATATAAACCAACACTTCACACCTTTAAAATTTCTGGTGTCTATAATTGAATGTTAGTGATATAAGTTAATGTAGAGAATACCTACATATGGTAAAAGGGAATTTAACAAAGACTAATTTATGCCCAATGGTTACTCCCCTCCCCCATTTTCTTTTATTGGTGCATTACACTTGTACATATGGGGGTGTCTGTTGTTACATATTTGTATATGCATTAAACATAATAATATAATGTGGCCAATCACTCCAAAATTTATCTTTTAAAGAGATCATAATTGCAGATAATTTCTAAAAGTGAATGATCTAGCTTCTTTAGGAAGACTTTATCCATAAAAAGGAAATATTTTAATTTTTGTTAATATGCTTTACAACTTTAGTTAAACACATTTTGGTCTCGTCTTTCATCTATTTTTCTCCAAACCACCTACCACTTAGATAAATGTCCTCTAGTTTCTCTCTCTCTCTTTTTTTTTTTTTTATTAGTACCAGGGATTGAACTCAGGGGCACTTAACCACTGAGCCATTCCCCAGCCCTACTTTAGAGAAAGGTTTCACTGAGTTGCTTAGTGCCTCTCTAAGTTGTTGAGGCTGGCTTTGAACCTGAGATTCTCCTGCCTCAGCTTCCTGAGCTGCTGGGATTACAAGCATGAGCCACCACACCCAGCCAATGTCCTCTACTTTCAATGACCAGGTGACAAATTGCTGTATACATGTTTAAGTAACACTTGAAGAAACTCTAAAAATGAATCTCATTCTAGATGAATATGCTCTATTATAAAACACATAGAGGTTTGAAGACAATTGCTTTAAGGTAAGAATTTGGAACAATGATAGAAGCCTTATATGGATTTTTCCCCCTGTAATGCTAGGGATGAAACCCAGGGCTTTATTCATGTTAGGCAAATATTCTAACACTGAGCTACATCCCTAGCCCCAAGCATATTTACCTTTAAAGTGTACTCAACTACTAGGAAAAGATACTTTTCAGTACAAGTAAATTTGACTTTCAGTGTCAGAYAGGAAAGAAATTTAGAAGTGCTAATATATTAAAGAATATATCCAGATAGATTTTCTGAAGAATTGCTGTTTTTTAAAATAAATGATGTCTGTTTATAAATTCAACTTTGGATGATAGTGCATTATTCTTTAAACTTTTTGAGATTCATCTGAAACCCCTAAAAATTAAAATGATCTAATAAGTTATCTATACAAAAATATGGTCACCAATAAAGCAGATTCTCTGATGATCAAAATATGAGATAATATAACAAATTATATTCAAAATATCTACAAGTTATAAGGGTAATAAAAGCCTATCTGGATTATTTGGTTGTATATACCCAGTCTGCTGTCATTATTAGAGATCTTTGTGTAGGGACTGACACATGTAGCCACATAAAACCACAAACTTCACAAATAATCTTATAAACAAATCCTGCTCCTGGGAATCAAACAATGACTTGGAATTGAGTTAGTCTCCTTGGCTATGAAAGTGATTTGAGGAGCCAAAGAAAATTTTGATTGTTTTGGTGAGGCCCGAATTCTAGAGAACAGAATCAGCACTATTGCATGATGTAATTTATTGTAGCTAATAGTTGTGACAATCTGAACTAACAACAGATATGACTCATTTTACATTTCTGTAATACAACAGAAAGAAGAAAATGATTATACTAGACAGCACTAAGCATAACAGACCATTGCAGTTTCCAGTAAAAATATGTCAAATTACCAAATCAACAAACAACTTTTATTTGAACCTTATCAATAATAATAATAAATGGTTTATCTGTTCTAATCCTGATAGGATACTATGTAAAGAAAATGTCATTGGGAAGATCTGAAAAAAAATTTTTTTCAGGGCTCATTCATTTCTATATGGTTTTACAATAATGTTCCAAAGCAGCTAAAAGTACTTAATAAGATAAATGCATGTGTGGAGTTTAACATCAAGCAACAGTGTAGTGGGCAACCTTATCTAGTAATCAAACAATTACAAAATGGAAAGTACATCTTGTACAAGCTGACAAAGCCATTAAATCAGGAAAGCTGTGGGCATTTTGACACTGTAAAAAACTACCAGAAAGCATTAATTTCAGCATTAATAAAATGGCAGTAAATAGATGACAGTTACCAGATGAACTAAGAAATAAGGTTACTGGCCTTGTTAAGCTCACGTCTCATTTTCTCAGGCACAAACTGATCGAGGTAGCGTCTGAAGTGAAGTGCATCAATGGCAACAATCTCAGTGCAGCGTCGCTGCCAGTCATCCCTGGGATAGGGCAAATAAGGGAAAAAGATGAGGAATAGGTAGAGCCCTTCGGCCTTGCAGAGGTTAGGTTGTCAATACCTTGGTAGTGTATAGTAAAAACAAACAAACTGTGACCACAGGTCTCAGCAAAGCAGGAGGTCAAGAAACATTTTATATTTAGATTCAAAGGCATACACATTATGCACTGTTGGGTAGTAAGTAGTACAATGAAAAATCAAGAAACCACACACTATGACATATTATATATCATTTACAGTGAGTCTGACACAAAAAGATTTGAGGGCAAACAAAGGGAATTTAGGTCTTTCTTTTCCTTTCATACTGAAGTTCAATCCTTCTTTGTTTTGTGGGATCTGCTCTAAATTACTGGGATGTAATACTATTACATACTGTCCAGGACATAAACCCAAGAAGTCAAGTGTTACTACTGTGCTCAATTGCTGACTGCAAGAAACTATTTTTTGAAAGACAGGACATCAAAGTAGACAATAACATGTCACTTGTGGAAGTAGAAAGGACTAGTTGAGATGATAATTTTAGAAATGTGTGAAATTCCAAATATCTCACCTCTTTAAAAACCTGCATAATTGGTATGCCGACCAATTTTTCATTTTGAAGAACAATGAAGCCTTCATGTTAGTTTGGAAATAATTACCAGGAATAAATAAATATTCACAAAGATAACTGTTTGTTACACCATATACTTTAAACAAAATAAGAATACAGAGGCTGGACTTGAACGTTTGTGGCACAGGTATGACTACATGGACCAGAGCTGATTGTTTCTCATTTAAAAACAAACAAATCCCACAAGCTTTCAGGCAGCATTTCTGCAAAAAATTATACCTGATAAACTACACAATTTGATGGAAAAGCAAAGATGTCAAAATGTGAATAAATTCTAAAAAGAAACAGGAGACAACAGCAGCAAAGTTCACTGCAGAACCTGCAGTACCTGGCTTTGTGGCATTAGACAAACTGTCCCAACACAGGTGTCCTCCATTTACCTAATCTCACGGAGAAATTAAGGATAACTAAATAAGATGCTCTAATTAGAGCCACTTCTAATTAAGTTTGGATTTGGAAGTTAACCGCTCCCAACTGGCAGCTTGTAGAACTGTAGAAAACTCTGTCTTCCTTGTACTTATTTTAGACTTCTGGTTTTTCATTTTCTCTGGTCTCCCTTTGTATACAGAAATGGTTATACTGTTTTAACKGCAACAAAACTGTAACACTGAATTTAAAAAGAAAAGTTCAACTGCCTGAATAATAGTACAAGAGATACTGAGTGCACTAGAGTCACTCCACCTTCACTTTCAGTCACATAATACTCAAGTCAGAAACAGACTCACCTTTCACTCCCATCTTCATGGCTTCGGGCCCAACGATATGTTTCAGCATAGCCAGTGTATTCACTGTACTGTTCAGTACCTGAAACAAATAATTTGTTACTATTTACTTGATACTCAATGGTGAAAACATTTCACCTAAAATCAGCAACAAGGCAAGGAATACCATTCTCATCACTTATATTCAGCACTGTGCTTGAGGGGTCCCCCAGCCAGTGCAATAAAGCAAGAGAAGAAATAAAAGGCATTAAAAATATTAAAAACAAAAACAAGAGTGTAGCTCAATGGTACAACACAAGCTTATCATGCACAAGGTCCGGGGTTAAATCCTTAGCACCAAAGGAAAAACAGTTAAAATGTCCCGATTTGCAGATGCAATCATTGTTTATCCAGCAAATCCTAAGGAATTACTGAAAGAAAGAGTGTGTAGAGGGGAATTATAACAAGAAAAGCTCATAAGCAAATTTAGTAAGGTCAATGGTATGTCTATATATGTAGCAATAAACAATGGGAAATAAAACTTTTCAAAAATCCATTAAATATAATGTAAAAAAAATCTAGAAGTAAATACAATGGATGAAGAAGACATAACTGAGAAAAAACAAAGACCTCAATAAAAAGAGAAATGTACAAGGCTCTTGGGATAGAAGACTCAATATTGTTACAACGTTAATTTTTGATTTATAGATTCACCTCAATCCTAATGATAATCTCAAAAGACTTTTTCTTTTTAAAAGTAGTAAATGATGGGGATGGAGTTGTGGCTCAGTGGTAGAGTATTCGCCTAGCATGCATGAGGCACTGGGTTTGATTCTCAGAACCACATAAATGTAAAATAAAGATATTGTGTCCACCTAAACTAAAAAATAAATTTTTTTTAAAAAGTAGTAAATGAGAAGAGATGTAGGTCTATTCTAAAACTTATATAGAAAAGACAAACAATCCATACAGAAAAGGGTAGTTTTCCCAACAAATATTACCAGAGTAAATAGACATTCATACAAAACAAAATAAACTTCAACTGCTACCTTACACTGTGAATGAAAACAATTTTGAGATGACTCACAGAAATAAAAATAAAATTATAAAACTTCTAGAAGAAAACACAGAAGAAGAGTTTCATTATATTGGGGATATATAAATATTTCTTAGACTGGATAAAGAAAGCAATGATTATAAAATTTACCCAAAGCAATAACAACAACAAAATCCCCCAAAGCAAGCTCTCCTCTCTACCCCAAAAAACCTCAAACAAAAACTACAATGGAGCAAAGTTACATACTTCTGGCCATACAAAGACCAATAAGAAAATATGTAGGCAGGACAGCAGGAAAAATATTCATAAAACTAGCATCTGTCAAATAACTTATATTTAGAATACCTGAAGAACTCTCATGAATTAATAACAAAAACAATACAATTTAGAAAACTGGACAGAAGATTTGAACTATATCCTACTAACAACCATATGAAACACTGTAACATTATTCCAGTATAACATTAAAACCACTATAAACTGAAAAGAATGACTAAAAAAAAAAAAAAAAAAAAAGACTGACAACACTAAACATTGGCAAGGATGTACAACAAGTAGAAATTTCATGCACTGCTGGAAGAATGTAAAATGGCACAATGATTTTGGAAAACAGACAATTTCTTACAAAATTAAATATGTATCCAACCTTGGACCTATAAATTATATTCTTAGGTATTTAGCCAATAGAAATTAAAAATATATACTAACAAAAACTGAAGAGAACACTCTTAGAGGGTTAATTCACAATAGTTGTCTATCAGTCAGGGTTCAACCAGAGAATCAGAACTAGTAGGAGATATATACAAAGAAATTTATTAAAGGAGTTGGTTTAAATAACTGTGGGAGCTGACTAGGCAGGCTGGTACTCAGAAATGAACTACTGTCCACAATAAGAATTTCTTTTCGGGGGGGGGGGGCGGGGCGGGGAAGCCTTAGCTCTGCTCTTTAGGCCTTTGAACTGATTGAAATTGGTTTGCCCAGATTTTTGCAAATAATCTCCCTTTTAAAATATTAACTACTTGTGGACTTTAATCACATCTACAAAATATCTTAACAGCAATACCTACATTAGCATTTGAATATATGGGGACTGGAGTCTATCTAACCTGACATATAAAAAAGACTATCACAAAAATAAAAGTACAAATAATCTAAATGTTCATCAACAGAAAATTAGCAAAACATGATTTACAAAGGAATTATACTTTTRGTAATAAAAAGGATTAAAACCACTGAAGTACTCAAATCCATAGATGAATCTCACATAACATTTTATGCAGAGGGGGGAAAAAGCAAGGTAGAAGTGTGTGTACATACATATACATATATACAAATATATACATACATATATGAAGTTCTAAAAAAGACAAAACTAATTCATGAAAAAAATAAAAATTGTGTTTGTTTCTGGTCTTAGCATGGGGATTGATCAGAAAAGGGCTCAAGGAAATTGACAGGATGGATTTGTTATTTTGTCTTGATAGGGGTGTGGGATAAAAGGGAAATATTTATTTGCCAACTTACCAAAATATACACTTAACATTACATATTTCACTATATGTAAATTTTACTTAAAAAGAGAGAGAAAACCAGAAAATAATTATAAACCAATACCAAACTCCACTAAGRTTTGCTTTTTACAGCGGCATGGTTTAGTAGTTCTGAAATCACCTAAATGAATAAGCAAAATGTAATTAGGAAAAACACTGGGCAAATTCAAAATGAGGGACATTCTATAAAATAATTGGCTTATACGATTTAGAAATATCAAGGTGAACAAACACAAGGAAAGGTTGAGAAACTATACCAGAGACTATAAATTATTAATATTTGTGTCTACTTTAGCATTTTATAATGCAAGGGTATAAAAGCAGCTGAGTACTTGCCTAATAAACATAATTAATGAACAAAACAGAAAGAGCATTGTATTAACTGAGATTAAAATAATGAGGCCAGGTATACTTAATAGGAAGATATTATATAATTGAACCATATATAAAAATTCACATCTAAAAGGATAACATGGCAAAGAATGACAGATTGACATTAGGACACAGAAGAGCTCTAAGTTAATCTTTACTAGCCAGGAGACCTTGGATAACCAAACCTCACTGGACTTCATCATGTGAAATTCAGGGTTATTAATAATTCTTCTTATCTCACAGAGTTGCTTAGAAAAGTCAAATAAGACAAGCTAAAAATTCTTCTAAACCTTAAAGCAGTCAATGTTGATGTCATTAGATTTTAACTTTATAAGGGAACAGAGAAAACAGATATTTGACTCTATTCTCAAGGTGATTAAAAGTGACCTGGTTTACTGGAGTAAAAGGAACCAAAAGAGTCAGAAAGGCTCTGGTTCTATTATGTTTTCCACCTTGGTGTAGACAGTTCACATTTTTCTTTTTCATAAACACACACACACACACACACACACACACACACACACCTGCCTAATCTGATCCCTTGACTATTAAAACAAACACCTGTCCTGTCTTTTGAAAAGGAAGCAGTTGAAAAATATAAAATAGCAATTATCATATTTCTACTTCAAAATAGGATAGCTTTCAGTCTTCTTTCTTGAGGGAAACCAGGCTAGATTTATCTTTTTTTTTTTTTTTGGTGTTGCTGGGGATTAAACCCAGGTCCTTGTACGTGTGAGGGAAGCACTCTACCAACTGAGCTATATCCTAGCCCTAGATTTATCTTCTCTGGGTATGGGAAATTAAAAAAAAAAAAAAAAGAAGATATATACAAATGCTTTTGCTTTAAACAAATTAAATCCTGGGTGTCTACACTGACAATTTTCACAATTGTATTGGCTGTTTGTTTTGAAAACTGGATCCCGTTAATGTGTTTTAAATTAAAATTTATTAATAAATTGATAAAAACATAAAGGTAAGCATTTAGTGATAATATAATAGCAAACAAGATATAATGAATGGCCTTTATGATAGCTCTCTCTAGGGATAGCCTGTAGAACTTCACAGTTAAGGAAGACCTTCACTTAAGGAAAAATCTAGAAGAAACCCATTAAAAACCTCATTAAGAGTTCACAACAGCTTTATGTGTTTTTAGATTTAGTAAGAAACATTGTTATTTTCTCTTCCTAGGAATAAAAGTTGGTAATGAATAGAAAAAAATATTTGAAGATTAAAAATTTCTACTATGGCAGGTGTGGTGGTGCATGCCTGTAATCCCAGCAGTTCAGGAGGCTGAGGCCAGATGATTGGGAGTTCAAACCCATAGTCAGCTCTGGCAAGTGACTTAGCAACTCAGTGAGACCCTGTCTTTAAATAAAATACAAAATAGGGCTGGGGTGTGGCTCAGTGGTTGAATGTCCCTGAGTTCAATCCCTGGTACCTGCCCCCCCCACCCCAAATCTACTTATCAATGAGTTTGTGCCTTAGAAAGATTCATATGAAAGCCATATGAATCACATCACATACTCACCTTTCATCAGCATCACTCACACAGTGGTAATCATATAGTAAATAGAACGGTCTTGCCTTTAGCATGATTAATAAAAATCAAAGAGGAACACCCAAGAAATGTTTGATTTCCAAACATTTCTGAAAAACTCCAACTGAATTTGGATCTTTTTCCAAAGAACTGGTGTCATTTAGCAAAGGGTTATTTCTATAGTGACAGGTGTCCCTAGCACTGCACCTCTATAAAGAGATGGCACTAATATTATAAGCAAGAGCGTCTACATATAGTCATTTCGGTCAGTTCTGCTGATACTCAGAAAAGACATAAGAAACTGCAATGTCTGGGATAATTTGATTAACTGAAGGGTAGATTTTATGTTAAATATACTATTCCTCTGCTCAGAAAGTTTCATGTATAGGCATGCATCTGCTTTGTGTGCTCACCAAACAGAAACACAACAACAAAAACCCCTTAGAGTCCTTTAGTATTGAGCTATTTGTTGCATATTGTAGAGAAACACATGACAGAGGGGAAGATAAGAAAAGGTAAGACTGGAGTTTTAATTCTTTCCCTTTATCTATACTTACCAAAAGGTTTTAACTTATGGCTGCCCCAGTGAGGATCACTGTGGGGGGGGGGGGCTGGGAATAACACTGTATAAAAGTATAGAGGGAAAACACCGTATAAAAGTATTTGCCTGTTTGCATGACCTGTTTCATATTCATTTAAAAGTCTGATGGTAACCAGATGTTCCACAATGATGATAAATTTAATTTATTTCCAAATTCTCAAACTCTTCTACAGATTCAGGCAGCATACTCATAGTCATTAGCTCACTGAGCCTGGATGCATGATTGAAGGAATGGAATTGATCTGGCAGATAGATGCAGTGCATGGTTAAGAGTCTCCTAAGAAGGGAGATGGCAGAAATCCAGACATCAAATAGATGATGAAATGGCCATTTCCATTAAGGGAACATCACATCACAGATATTAATTAGGAGGCACTATAATAAAGTTAAGTGGAAGTGGGAAAAAAACACTGAGTTAAAAGTCACCCCAAATGTCCTTAGCTTGACTTAATTACAGATCTGAAGGTGAACCATGGATCTGCAATTTTCTATCCATTTTACAAACATAATTTAAAGACTGGAGTTAACTTCCAAGTGATCTGGGGATAAATGATCTTTAAAAATAAACTTTCTTTTAAAAAAATTCCCAGGGAACTTTTCCATTTATTTATAGTTACATTAAAGGCAGATGTCAAGGGACTCCTACTACTGTAAATGAAATGAAGCAAATGAAACAAATTAGTTCTGAATATAATTCCCAAGATTTTATTTCTTTTWAATTTTTTTTTGTAGTTGTAAATGGACAGAATGCCTTTAATTGTTTATTTTTATGTGGTGCTGAGGATTGAACTCTATGTCTCACACATACTACTAGGCAAGTGCTCTGCCACCAAGCAAGATTTTATTTCAAGGATGTAAATTCATCTTAAAAACTGATGGGATATTTTGTTCTAGATCTTCAGTTCAAATCCAGTTTAACTGCTAAAAATTTAAAACCTTTAAAAAGTATTATTTGATATACCCAAATGATGACAGTCACATTCCTGACCTTCAGAGATCCCTGAGTACAGGGTAACAGGAAAGGCAGTGCAATGAATCTAACATAACGTTCCTATGTATATATGTGAATACATCTCAGTGAATTTCAACACTGTGTGTACCCACAAGATTGGGGTCCCAATTAGAAGAAAATACATTCCATGTTTGTGTAATATATAGAGTCTACTGCCATGTATAACTAAAACAAACAAAAAAAATATGGATAAGCCAAAATTTCTTAAAATTTAAAAAAACTGGGATAAATACCCTTTTAAAGAACACAACCCACTGGATTTTACAAAGCTATGCACCCATATCACTTTCCAATTACAAAATATTTTCATCTTCCCTCAAAGAAATTTCTTTAACAATTATTCCTTATTTCCATTTCTCTTTAACCACTGCAACCACTTATCCACTTTCTATCTCTATCAAGTTACCTATTCAGGACATTTAATATAACTGGAATCATACAATATGTGGCTTTTTGTGTCTGACTTCTTTTATTTAGCAAGTTTTCAAGATTCATCTATTATATAATAAACAATGTTTTATATCTATACAAAGGATATTACTCAGCCATAAGAAAGAATAAAATCAATTTGCATTTTTTAAAAAAGAATATAGGGCAAATACTCAAAGTACTTAGTTGCCCTATAATGGATTTATACCACTTTTTTTTTCATTTTTTTGTTTTGTAATCTTTTGCACTCTTACTTCCCACAGTATTTCCCACAACTGTACCCTTTCTAAGTGCTTATGTAAAAACTAACACAGCCAGCCAGATGACCAATATGTGAGTTGAGGCAATGCTGAGAACAAAAGTGGTCTGTGTCTATCTCTGTCTCTCCATTTCAGTACAATTTGGATCACTAATTCAAGAATTGTGAATGAAATACTTCAAGTTACAAGTCATTAGCTTCGTATGGCTAACTAGGGTTCCATCCAAGAAGAAATTCTTTGCCAACATTCCAATCCTAATTTCCTACATAAACTCAGGTAATTAACAACTTTTATTTTCTTAAAGTTACTTACCTCAGCAAAATGGCAGAATTACAAGGATAAGAATTAACACAGAATTTTAAATGAAGCAAAATAACTCATTTAAAGCCCCTTTACCAAAGAATGTCCACAAAAGGTATGGAGACATCAGCAAAAAGGATGAAGTAAAAACCTTGAAAATTCTCCCCTCCCTAAAATCAATGAGAACACTGAGAGAATCACAGCAAAAATCAAAAGTGGAAATAAACTAAAACCTTAAGTAATCCAGGCAGTGTTTATCCAAGGAAAATTGGTGGAATCTTGGTTAAAAACAGCAAGCTTAATGGTGTTTTAATTTGCCTTATTTTCCATTTCACTCTCCCAAGCTCTGTGGTAGCCTTAAAAACCTACTGTCCCTAAGCATAGTGAAAACTAGCAGCCTGGCAGCCACAAGAGGCAGAAGAGTGACAAACATCCTTCAATTCTCCTTTCTCAGAGAACCGTCATTATTACATTTGTCTGGTGTTTCTCTCAAAGACCTCACTTCGAAGGCTCTTTATTTACTGGACTTAGCGTTCCCAGTGTGAAAAGACTAATTCCCAAAGTTAAATGAAAATAAACACAGGCAACTATTTAAAATTGAGGCTGCCTGAGGTGGTGATTGTCAGTTAGGGCAAATAATAGGCTAACCAAAAAGCTTCAAAGAAAAGGCCTAGGAATAAGATGTCCACAAGGGGCTTAAGAAAAGTTCTAACATTCCTGGGAGTCTGGAAGACCACATGCAAGCCCACAACCATGTAAATGCTCAGGCCCTCAGCTCTCTCCTCTCTTGCCTAACCTTAAGGCTCTGTGTAAAAAGGAAGTGAAGAATAAGGCAGAGTCAATAACTGTAGATGGGAGTGTTAAAAGGTGAGTCCCCACATGTACAAAGATCATTTCAGCACAGACTGTGTGACTTACTGGCTCCAAGCATTTAAGGAAATCTGCATTAAAATTAGCTGACCAATAATCTAATTGAGTAGAGACAAGAAATAATACAGACTTTACAGCATTTGTTTAGGAAAGTTACTAAACAAACAACAAATAGCAACACTGAACTCTGATGAGGGAAAATCTCATTTGCGGGTTGCCACATTATATTATGTCCAGTTCTCAACAACAACAAAAAAGTAAGACATGGAAAGAAATGAGGTAATATAATGAATACCCAGGGGAAAAAGCAGTCAACAGTAACTGATGTTGGATTTACTAAACAAACACTTTAAATCAGTTATTTATGGAATGACATAATTAAAAAACTTCTGCACAGCAAAAACAATTAGGAATATGAACACAGAACCTACAGAATGGGAGAAAATCTTTGCTAGTTACTTTTCTGACAGAAGATTAATATCTAGGATATATAAGGAACTCAAAAAACTTAAAATCAGAAAAACCAAATAACCCAATTAATAAATAGACAAATGAATTGAACAGACACTTCTCAAAAAGAAATACAAATGGCCAACAAATATATGAAAAAATGTTCAACATTATTAGCAATTACGGAAATGCACACCAAAACTATACTGAGATTTCATCTCACACCAATCTGAATGACAGTTATCAAGAATACAAATAATAATAAATGCTGGAGAGGTTGTGGAGAAAAAGGAACACTTTTACACTGTTGGTAGGATTATAAATTAGCACAACCACTATGGAAGTCAGTATGGAGATTCCTCAAAAGACTAGGCATGGAACCACCATGACTCAGCTATACCACTCCCCAGTATTTATCCTAAAGAATTAAAAGCATCATAGTATAATGATATATGCATACCCATGGTTATAGCAGCAAAATTCACAATAACCAAACTATGGAACCAATCTAGATATCCATCAATAGATGAATGAATAAAGAAAATGTGTTGTATATACACAATGGAGTTTCATTCAGACAGAAAGAAAAATGAAATTATGTCATTTGTAGGAAAATGGTGGAACTAGACAGCATTAAGTGAAATAAGTCAAACTCAGAAGCTCCAGGGTCATATGTAGAAATTAGAGAAGAAAAGGAAAAAGAAAGGTGCTGGAGAGTATCCCATGGAAAACAAAGGGAGATTGGTAGAGGAAAGGGATCAGTGGGGTGGGAGAAGGGGAAAGTGCTGGGGAGTAATATTGGCCAGATTTATATTGTTATATTGTGTGCATATACACATATGTAACAGCAAATCTCATCATTATGTAACAATACAATGTACCAATGAAAAATGTGGAAAGAGAAAAAAATTAGTTATTTTAAATATGTTGGAAGAACTAAAGAAAACTGGCTAAGTAACAAAAGTGTAAAGATAACTCTCAAATAGAAATATTAATAAAAAGATATTATAAAAAAATCAAATAGAAATTCTGGAATTAAAAAATACAATAACTAAAAATTCATTAGAGAGATTCAAAAGTAGATTACAGCAGGTAAAAGAAAGAATCCATGAATTTGAAGATATGTCATTTGAGATTATCCATTCTAAGCACCAAAAAAAAAAAAAAAAAGAAGAAAAATGAACATAGCTTTAGAAACTTATGGGACACCATCAATGTACTAACATAAATAAATAATGGCCAAAAATTTAATAAATCTGATGACAAACATTAAACTCGCAAGCTCAATGAACTCCAAGGAGGATAAAGTTTAAGTCCATACTTAGATAAATCATAATCAAACTGCTGGAAGGCAAAAAAGAAAAGGTGGAGAATAAAATGTATATTCAATATATTTTAGGAAAATGAGAGTATAACAATTTCAAAGAGGAAGTATAAGTAATGTATAAAAATACTATGACTAATACCCATCAGTAGCCTCAAATCTTCACAACAGATATTCACAGGTAGGGAGGACTTACCCCATTTCCAGAATTCCCCAAAACTAACCTGTGATAATAAGACATTCATTGTGATCCAGCACCTCAGTGAAGAGCCGTGAAACAATCAATTCAGGATTGATTAAAAAGCGGATTTCTTCTTGCACAAGTCCTGCACTGGTTACTCCACCTCCAACAAAACGATTTGCAAAATCCACCTGTTTAGGAAAATGTGGCATGTTAAATAATGATCTAAAATACCAGAATTATGATAAAGAAGCACATGCCAAAAAGTTCTAATCTTTTTATTTCCCATGAAAATCAGTCCTCAAACGACTAATGTTCCCAAGGAGTCTGAGTTATACTTGTGTACACTCGTAGTTATATTTGTGCCTTACTTTTCCCATTTCATTGAAGTTAATATGTCTGCATGTTTCTTTGGATTCCAAAAGTGCATAAAGGACCTCAGAAAAATTGTTTATGGGCGAAATATTATCTAGAAACTCTTATTTAATAAACCTTATTTGTGCTCCCCTGGTCATAAGTCAAGGGAGGTCTTCTGCTTGAAAGGTTTTAACATTAGTTTCCTACATCCATACTTAACCTCATTTTATATATTTCAGATGACTTTAATACAGCAATCAAACACTTGTCCTAAAGAACTGAAGAGTTTAGTAGTTGACTATTTGGGGATAATACCTTTCTTAATAATATTATATCTTTCTCTTCTGTGGAAGAATAAAAGGTATGGAATTTTTGTCCTAAATCACCAAATACATGAACATTACCAACTTATTTTTTGGATACCAGGAATTGAACTCAGGAGGACTAGACAACTAAGTCACATCCTCATCCCTATTTTGTATTTTGTTTAGGGACACAGGATCTCACTGAGTTGCTTAGTGCCTCACTTTTGCTGAGGCTGGCTTTGAACTCTTGATCCTCCTGCCTCACTCAGCCTCCCCAGTCGCTGGGATTACAGGTGTGTGTCACCACGCCTAGCCACCAAATATTTTTAAAAAATATACCTAAGAAAGAAAGAAACCTGGTATAAGAACAAAAAATTCAACTAAATTAATATTTCCAATGGAGTCTGAAACCCATAGCTTTTTTTTTTTTTTCTTCTTTTCTTCAGTGCTAACTATTGAACCCAGAGTCTTGCAAATGATAGGCAAGTGCCACCACTAATGTATTCCCTCAGTCCTACATAAGATTTAGGTAAAAGTATTATGAGATCTACTGATGAAGAAGAGCTATACAATCCTTGTGAGAATGCACTCAAGCTGCCAATGTTAATTCAGTTTATGTAAGAAATGGTGTCCATCTTAGCCTTAGGTTATTGTTAAGAGTTAGATTATACAGATACATATAATTTCTGTACATACATATTCACACACACAAGTAAAACAGAATTTACTAAATACTGTAAGAGAGGGTAATATGCTTTCCAACCACTGTAAATTATAAGATTTCTTCAAACTTGTTTGTATTCTCTGAGGTAACTGATACTAAATGATAACCTAAAGCTAATTTTATAATAGAGTAGAACAAGAATTATGAATCAGGTCAGGTGTACTGGTACAAGCCTCTAATCTCAGTTAATCAGGAGGTGAGACAGGAGAATCAAAAGTTCAAAGCCCCCCAGGTAATAGACCAAGACCCTGTCTTATTTAAAAACAAACAAACAAACAACAACAACAAAAAAAAAACCAATAACTCCTGCCAAAAGAATGTAAATCTTTTGCTATGTGAAAGTATATAGAAACTTACAGAAATCAAAATAGTCTTTACTCTTTTGTGTGTGTGTGTGGTCCTGGAGATTAAACTTGAGGGAAATATATCAACAAATTCTTAAAATGTGTTTGAAAATCATATATTTGGTTTTGTATTCTTTTTCTCTTTTTTTGTGGCATTTAGGATTAAACTCAAGGATGCTCTACCATTGAGCTATAACCCYAGTCTTTTTTTGTTTTGAGACAGAATTTCACTAAATTGCTTAGGCTGGCCTCGAGTTTATAATCCTCCTGCCTTAGCATCCTGCGTCACTGGGAATATACACATGCACCACTGCACCTAGCTGGGTTTGTATTTGTAATCAGCACTAAAAAAAGGGGAGGGGGGCTAGAGGGCAGGGGGTGCCCAGTAACTCTTTAGCTTATATAGAAAAACAAGTTTTGATGAAAATGTTAATTAGATTGGTTACTTAGTACTCAGCTCCTGGCCTCATAGGATTTGCAAGTTAGATGGATGGGAGTCAGGAACATAAGCAGAATGATAAGGTGATAATTAAAGAGCATGTTAGTATGTATTTGTTACTTTTCATATAACAGAATTAACTAAATCTGAGCATGGGAGGAAGATTAGGAAAGCTTTACAAGAGAACATGGCATTCGATCCAGAGTTAGCTAACATATAGCCTGAGGCAACAGCTATACAAGGGACACAGGAAGAAACCCAAATGTAAACAGCTACATGAGAAGAATTATGGTGGCTTCACTGTAAAATACATCATGTGGATAGTTATAGTTGGTGATAAAGTGGTTTGGGGTCTAGGGAATTTTTACTCAATTTTGAAGTTTCTGAGAAAGATTCATATGACAACTGGACCTGTGTCTTAGTATGATACTTCAGGCTACAGTTTAAAAAATAAACTGGAAAAGTGTAACATTAAAAAAAAAAAAGCAATTAATCAGATGACAAGCATTATGAGAGCAGGGGCAAAGTAAGGGGGGAAGACCCAGCAAAGAAATGAAATTAAATGAAATGAAGTGCATTTGAGAACTGAGACCATACTGAGTACCTGCAAGTGTAATTCTATTAGAAATACAAGAGAGAGACCAAGGAGAGTTGAGATCAGTATAACTTAATTTTTACTGGAATAAGTTACAGAACAAATAAAATACAAGCTCTATCCAACTTATGTACTATTTGATAATGATCATGAAATACATGCAATGTGAATGCTATTGTTTACTGAATAAAAGGTCAACAATTCATTATTTGCAAGGTGTACACAGAAATAAATGCACAAAACTCAATATGCCTCTAAAAACAGGGGTCTTTAAGAAAATTAAAGTTTCTGCTACTTAATAAAAGGCTCTCTATAACAGGTGATAGACCTGTTCTAGTACATGAAAACAAGCATATTAGTGTTTCTTTATTTTTAATCACTCATTTTATAAGTTTCTTTACTTTAACGCTACTTTATTCAGATTATTCAGCTTCTGAATTATAACTTGATGAAAAGAGAGAAATGATAACGCTCCTTAGAGAGGTTTTGTTGTTGTTGCCATTCAGCATAATGTAATTTATGTGCTACCCAAGGAGCTTTGAAGCATTGCAATACAATATTCCCTGATCTCCTGGGGAGATATAGCATGGGTTGGGAGAACAATTAATAGTGCTAGAAGCCTTTATGGTATTCTTTTAATCTACTGAGGTCTCATATTTCATTTATAATATATTCCACGAAGTGAGGAGAATCTCAGCTTCAACTGTTGTTAAGTAATTCCCTGTTGAATTATACTGTAATAAAAGGTCAGCATTCCTGTGGTGCTAACTAAGAATAACTCTGTTCAGTTCATATGTATTAAGAATACCCAGTTTACCCAAGACTTTAATGGAGAAAATAATCTCATAAAGAAGGGAATGTGGGGGAAGTAATATTCATTTCAAACAGTTTTTAAGTACATTTTGAAATTATGTTTTTGGGTAGAAGAAAAAATATATGATTGTACATATATTAAAATATTTTTTGGTGGTTTTTGTTTTTGTTTCTACAAATGTTAAATCCAGGACAAACTGTCAATTCAATTTTCCTAAATACTTTTGTTTACAAGTTCAAGTAATTACTAGGAGAAGGTGATCTGAAATAAAACACAATTCACTTCCTTTAAAATTTTAATTATAGATATGTCTAAATAAAAGGCCATTCTAAAAAGAATCTGATTCATCAGTCATTTGGAACATATGTATATCATAACTATGCACAAATCAGTCTAGTTAAATTCAACTATTTTCTCAACATTGCTTTCTTTATAGCTTCTAACCCAATATAAGCACCAAATAAGGATCTAAGAAGAAAAATCCCCAGTATAAATGATATAATACACAAGCTTCTTTCAGAGAAAACTAAGTTTACAATGCTCTTACAAATGGGATAAAAACACAAATCACTAATATATTGTCTGTTTAGTGAATTTTTTGAAAAAAATGCTATAAATCAAAAGCAAAATATATGCTCAGGTTAGGTATTATGAGGTTTTAAAGCTAAATATATGAAGTGTTTTGTTAAGCTCTTTTTGCTAAAAATATTTTTTTAACTAATGACAATTATAAAATAATTACAAAGATTGAAGAATGGACAGAATTACGTGCTCTCTAACAGGAAAAAAGACATTAGCAAGCATAGCTAGCTCATGTGCTTAAAATTGTTATATATGAGAGAAGCTTTTCTTATCAATCAGTTTTAGATGTCTGCCTCCTAGACCTAAGGCTGTTGGTGGCAGAAAAACATCTCAAGCTGGTCATCATTTGGGGCAGGGCAAGAGCCTTCAAAACAAAGAACAAAACTGCCTGTGACAGCTTGTCAAGAACATACCCTGGGAACTTCTCCACTGTCAATCTACAATCAGTGTCTGAACCAAGAGGAACTGATGTTGTCCAGATCTTGGGACTTTCTGTCAAAGGCTTTTTAAAGAGGCACATGTAAGAAACAGAGAGCATACACTGGCAAATAACAACATTACCAAGGCTGTCAAAATGATCTGTTTGGTGTTTCTTTCCATTCTGCCATGATGCTTCTCTGCATTAAATCAGTTTAGGAGACAAATAAACAGCCTTCAAATTTCCTTTTGTCAGAAGCTTGACAAGAAAAAAAGTCTTCAACATGCGCACAAACAACAGAGATTTACCTACCTGTAGCATGCCTTGTCCATTTCCTTCTATGGTACCTTCATAAGTAATATGCAACCGTGTCAGGGGTTTGTCACATCTATAATATAAAAACATATTCCCTTAATTTTTTGTTATTGATAAATAATTCATTACAGACAAATCTGAAAATATAGGTATCTAAAATATTGAAACAATTCCAAATCTCAAAAGCCAGAAATAGATGACTGCTGTCAATATTCCTGGTACTGAATCTCCCAGACTTTTCCTTCTAAAAATCTATAAAGAGGGGTTGGGGGTGTGGCTCAGAGGTACAGTGCTCGCCTAGCACATGCAAGGTCCTGGGTTCAATTCTTAGCATCACATAAAAGTATATAAATAAAATAAAGGTATTGTATCCAACTACAACTAAAAAATAAATATTAAAAAAATCTACAAAGATACATATTTAAATTAAAATTAGACAAGACATTGTTTTGAAACCTGCTTTTCCTCCTTTTAATATCAAAGTTTCTCTTCTGTTAGGTAGCCGAGAAACTTGTTAAGACATAAAAAAAATGAAGATCTATGATATTTAACTATTATGCTCAAGTTCACAGTCTAAGAAAAAAATGTAGAAAATTTGGCAATAAAKCATATACAATTCTCAATGGGCTCTATTTACATGTGTTCGTGAAGGGGTGTCTTGATGAAAATACATGCTATACAAATCCTGATCTGTGACATTTTCATATTAATAGATGAAAGATGAACCTAGGACCTATAAGTCACTCAGAAGACACAATTGTTTTCCTTTCAAAAATGCTACAGTCACTGAGGTGTTGACCTGCCTTATAGTATATTAAAAATCAATTTAAATAAATTAATAGCATTTGGTAATAATATTTTTTCTTTACAAGATTTTTCCCTTTGATTTCTTACTGCATAAAATATATAAATTAGCTGGGCACAGTAGCACATGCCTATAATTTCAGTGATTCAGGAGGCTGAGGAAGAAAGACACCAAGTTTGAGGCCAGATTCAGCAACTTAGTGAGATCTTCAGCAACTAAATGAGACCCTGTCTCAAAAATAAAAAAGAGGGGCTGGGAATGTGGCTCAGGCGGTAGCGCGCTCGTCTGGCATGTGTGCGGCCCGGGTTCGATCCTCAGCACCACATACCAACAAAGATGTTGTGTCCGCCGAGAACTAAAAAATAAATATTAAAAATTCTCTTTCTCTCTCTCTCTCTTTAAAAAAATAATAAAAAAATAAAAATAAAAAAGAGTAAGGATGTACTCAGTGATAAAATACACCTGGGTTCAATCCACAGTTCCCAAAATACATACACACATACATAAAATTATAATAGAATGTAGTAGAGATTAGACCCAAACTCCTTATGTAAGGGTAGCAATAACTTTTTTTGAAGGGGAGAATGATTACATTTTAAAAAATAATAATTTAAAAGGTTAACTGGGAAGCACTACTTATTTACTAAGATCGGCTTCCTAATTTTAATGAGTCCAAATATATTTCTAGCAAAACTTCAGTCTAATAGACTGTTAACTTTAACCCAAGAAGGTAATTCAGTAGAAGTTTTACTCTAAGGGCTTCATTTGTATTAACTCATTTAACTCTCAAAATAACCCCATATGATCTCCTTTGGAAATAGAAAACCAAAGCACAGAAAGTTTTTAAGTAACCTGCTCAGGCAAATAAACAATGTAGCAAAGATCTGAACCCAAGTAATACATCTCATYGGTCCAATTAGACCATAATTTTAGAAAAAAGTATACAATCCCTTGTAGACAGTCCATAGKTTTGATTTTTTTTTTTAACTTCCTTTTCTTGTTCCTACTTTCCTAGCCATTTTATTCAGAGACCACCTGTGAGGATACTACTGAAAACATAAAGAAGCATGGTCCAGAAATCTCTGGAATGTCAGTCAGGACTTCAAAATAGAACTCCCATCAATTGGCAACTATTCTCCATGGCTGAAGTTGTTAACTTTATATTATAGTTCTCATTGTAATTATGAAATTGCTAGAAACTATTTTTATTTGTTTCAAGTATTCTTCAACTTCCCAACAGGTCTCCTATTTTAGTCCCAGCAAAGCTTCTACACTCCTGTCTCAAGAATCAAAGACAAATGATTCTGGCTCTTTGCAATTAATGAAGCCTGGTTAAGTTATTTGCTGATGGGATCAAAGAGCTAACTAATGTTACAGAAACTGGGATTCAGAAAAGCTTTGGACTTTCTGGCACCCATGTAGCTCCTTATTCTTGACAATCAACAATCCTCATCTCTTCTTCATCCTCCCTTCTTAAATGCATATGCATTTCTGGTTCTGTGCAGTCTGGAAAACTAATTTTAATTACATTCTCCAACTCACTTATGAAGCAGCTAAAACAAAGAAAAACAACAAAAAAGAGAGATCAATGAAATATAAATAAGTTAGAAAAAGTATCAAATTAAATTCTGCCTATGAAAGTTAAGGGGATAATCTTTGTTTGAGGGGGCGAAGTTAATATATCTCATTCACATGGCAGCCTGCAAGTCTCTGCATTTTGACCTCTCCCTATTTCCAACAATGATGTACAAATGTGTGTCCTTTCACACTGATGTCAAATAGGCTCTGTGAATGATCTATAAAATCAACAACAAAGTGGTATGAACGCAATATTTGTATTCCTTCTAGAGATTAATAGAAAAGTGAAGAAAAGCAACCTTCTGTACTTTGGTCTGGCCAGATGACATAGCAGAATGTTACTTTTAGTTCTATGCACCATATTGAAAGAAACCAATGATTAGGAGGAGTATGTCAAAGCAGGTTTAGAATTCCCAAAAGAGTATACTATGGACTTGTGTTCACTGTTAGAACTGTCAAGAAAATGTTTTCAAGATACTGAAGGAGGGGTGAATGTTGAATAATATTATATATTAGATTTATTCTAATTCCAGAAGGAAGAACCAGGAATGGAAGGCGGGCTTATTTTGAGAAGACAGACATTTTTAGGGAATAAAATGTTAAGTTATAACACAAGCATCCACTAATGGAACAGACTGAGGTAAACAGTGAATTTCCCATCAGTGAAGTTGATCAGTCTCTATCTGTTGAAGGTATTATAGAGGTGATAGTATTTTTGGTAGGCAGATGGACTACATGACTTTCAGGGGACTCTCTCATTTTTGATATGCCATGCTTTCAAACACTGTATATGTTGTGCTCCTTTTCTGGCTCTATTACTCCCCACCCTGCTTTTCAGGTTGTTTAATCTTTTTATCCACTTTTTAATCATCTCAATTATGCACTGAAGTAAGTTTTTCTTCACAAACACCTCTGATGGATATGAAAACATCACAGGAAAGCCACCTAAGCAGATATCTTCTCAAGTTAACTTCCTTTAAGAGTGATTCCCCTCATCACTAATTTCAAATAAAACAACTACAAACTAAGATAAAAATTACTAGTGAAAACACCGAGGCAGTGGTTAATATAAAATGCACATCTAAAAACATACATACGTGTAGTATGCTTGATCATGTCCTCGCCTATTTAAAAAGTCAATCCACATTTTTAAATGCACTGGAAATTTCCTCTGGAAATGTATTAGCTATTTCAGAGTATTGAAGATCTTACCATCTGAGTTAACTCAGACCTCCTCAGTGTTTTCAGGTAAAGAATAATAATAATCTTATAACCCTAATGAATTAGCAACAACATAAAATCTGCCAAGAATACACAGAGCCAAACTTAAAATTCACCACTTAAGATAAGTTCTAAATAATTACTGTTTATATTTCAACTAAATTTAAAACTTTCCCCAATCTTGTGCTCCAGAAAGAAGAGTCATAAAATACAAGCACTAACCAAAAAAAGGGTAAGGAAGAACATTTAAATATTGGTGTTCTTACTTAATATAGTGTCTTCACACACAAAACTCCTTAATTCTAAACAAAACTTTGCTTCAGAAGACAAAACTAAGGCAGAATGGTAGAAGCCAAAGAGTTGCAGATTTTGACTGAAGTTGCAACTTTCCTAACAATGAGAGCTACTGATAGAGCATTTATGAGAAAATATTCCCAGCATGAGGGCAGTTATGAGGTTGAGTGCCTATCTTTCTAAAGGCTATAAATCAAGTCCTCTCATGGTTAAAAAAAAGAAAAAAGTCTAAAGGTATAACACTATTTTTATTATTATTACCTTTCCCATTCTGGAAAATCTTCAAGACTCTGTCTTGTAAATGTCACCAACCCAGTAGGTTCTACAAAAGCAATAAACCAAAAACACACACAAAGTTAAGTTTCAATTGTGAATTATCTGTAACAAATGAGGAAATACTGATTCTAGTACACAGACTTGGTATACAGTCCTTCAGTATCTGTGCGGGATTTGTTCTAGAACCCTCCTTGTGCATACTATAATTTGTGAATGTTCATGTCCCTTATATTTGCAAATAAACCTACACACGTCCTTCGATATACTTTAAATAATTTCTAGGTTACTTAAAATACCTAATAAAATATAAACGCTAGCTAGGTTGTTATACTACATTGCTTAGGAAATAATGATAAGGAAAAAAAGTCTGCACATGTTCAGTACAGATGTAATTTTTTTTTAAGATTATTTCCAATCCATGGTAGATTGAATCCGCAGATGGATCAGATACAGAGGGCCAACTATACAGCAGAACATTGATATAAAAGAGTTATCCTTACATTAGGAGCATCATCTATATAATAGTAAGCCCTTAGTAAACAAAACTATACGAGTAGCAGCACAACAGAAGGATCTAAAGCTGGCACTTTTTGGTGGCATTTTAAAAACTGAATATACTTTTAAAAAGAGCACTAAAAATGCACAGTTGCTATAGCCTAAACAATAAAGACAATTAAATTCCAATTTTTACATTCCTTTTGAAAGAAAAGCTTTAACCCTACACTCAAAGACTGGTGCTTTATGGTAAAGTAAAATTTTTCAAAAGGAAATCTTTGGCATGTCTTTTGGACTTAGCACAACTAAGACCGGAGCTTAGATGACTGGCAATTACTATACTTTTAAGTATGCATATTAACTGGAAGAGGAATTACTGAGTCCTAAGAGTTTGGAGAAGAAAGATGAAATTTTAAAGGAGCAATACATTTGAAAAGCTCAAAATTAGCGCAGTCGATAATTTTAGAGGATAGGATCCTTTCTTGGTTAGGATTACTTTTTTGTTTTTTAAGCCAGTGGCAAAAGCAAAAAATAAATCTGCTGGCCAGAAGTAATTTGTCTGCTTCAAATAAAAGAACAAAGTAAAAAGGCCATGCCATTTCTGTTTTCTTTTGTTAAAAGAAAGAAAGAAAAAGCTCTTAAGCACAAAGAGTGATGTCAGGAACTATTAGTGATGATGGTGTCAAGCCCAACAGAAGCTTGGCCATAATTTCATTCTTGTAGATAATTCCACATTTCTTTACTCCCAAGGACAAACAGTAACGACTCAAAAATTACATGGAGCATCTACATTAGTAAACAATTTTTGTTAACACAAGTCTTAAAATATTCTTCAGATACTAACTTTAAGACAAAAGGGTAGCATATTTAAAACTCCCAGAAGGCCAAACAATCCAAACATTAGAGAAGCAATTCTATTAATAGGAAATTAATGTCTATTTTATCATTCAGTCACTTGGCAAAGAACATTATTAAAAGTCCTTCATACATACTGAGAGAGACCACAAGAAATTCATAAATAAATACTGCTGGCAAAGCAAGAGAAAAGGCAGTATAAGGTTCTCTAGAGAAAATTACTGACAAAAATGCCTTGAGAACATGTCCGTTGCATAAAGGGGCAGAATTTACCTCAGACGAGGGTATTTTGGTTAATCAAATACTTCTTTTAATAAAAATCACAATATGTACTATATATGAATCATCAATTTTAAACATGTGACTATAAGATACTTTATCTAAAACTATATTGAAAATAATAACTCAGAAAGCTCTAAAAACTTTGACTCAAGATTTTCATTGTGAATATAAAAGTATAGATGTTTAACCATAATGAAAAGTTGGTCCTGTTGAAATTATGTTTAATCAGTTCTAAAATGCATGTTGTTTCACCTATTAAGTTTCTGAAAATGTTTTTTATAACGTAGATATCTTGCCATGGGTCTGGATTAAAACAGAATTTTCCCAGAGAAGATGGGCATCTGCTCCTTCCATCATCGGGAGGTGTCACCAAACTGAAACTACATTAAAACCTCTGTTGTAGGCCTTTACATACCACACTGGTGATAGGACTCCAGACATGATACTTGCGGTCTGTGGTTCAAATTCTCAGATATAAAATTCTCACCATGAGCCCCCCAATGCAGTGATAAAGTTGGGACTTACAAGTTTCTTTATTATCCCTTTTCTTCACAGCCATGTTAATTTTTCATTTATCCTTGATCAAGGGCCAGAACTTTGATGCTTTGTGCAACAGGTTTCCTAACAGATTCCCCAAGCCTGAGTGCTTTCTCATTCTTAGACGTATATAATGTGATGGCACTTCCCACCATCTATGATGATTAAAGCCTCTATTCAGTAGGCTCTGGACCTCAATACAACTAATCATGCTGTAGCAAATTTCTTTAAATCCCTTTATCATATCTTCCTTAGATTACTAGTGCTACATGTTGAAAACCTAGAGCAACATCTCATTTTATTTCTACAGAGACCTAAATTATCATGTACAGTGAAAAAGCCAGAAATAAAATGTCTAATTATAGTTTATTTCTTCAACCTAATTCCCAAGATTTAAGATGGCACATACATTTCTAATGAAAATTAAAAACAACAATAACAAATAATTTGCTTTTCCTCAGAGTATTTGAAATCCTAAAGCTCACAAAGAAAATTGGCTTTCAGAGAAGGTATATATGACTTGATACCCAAGACAGAAAAGTAAACTTTGAATTACTTACTTAGATTTAGAAAAAGGAAAATTTAGCAAAAGGAAACTTATGAGGTGTTCTGGTTTCCTTTATTATCAACTTGCATTAAAGGTAGCACTTTAAGCATATATATGCTTGTTTAATATCCCCAACTATTCTGTGAGGTAATTATCATTATTATTTTATTTCATAGACGAGAAACTGAACCACAGACGTATTAAACTTGGTCATGTCATTTAGTTCCTGAGGTAAGAGTAGCAATATTGTCCACTATCAGATAGTCATTGCCAGCATTTGTTGGACATTTACTGTTGTTGCCTCAGGTCAGTCTGGGCATCCAGTTCTAGTAAATATGGTCCAATAGAAGCAGAAAGACATGTAAACACTTACAATCCAGTTTTACAGGAATTCTACAAAGGGATTGGGGGAAGCGAAAGAGATGAATGAATAGGAATCAATGAACTAATTGGCCTTTACAAATGAAGTTCAACTAGTTAATGCTTCTTTAAATAAACAGCATCCAATATATATTTCCTGTTCAATATACTTTCTTTTAAAAGTATTAATTTATTATTTTTACTCATAAAAATTCCTTCATGTATATTGCAGGTTTTATAGTATATGGGTGAGTTCAGAGTACATAGAACCCATGCACACTCATAGTACACATTTACATGTATCCATAACATGCATACAATCAAGGTTATAACATTGAATCACTACTGTTCAAATGTATTTGGGGCAGTAAGGAATACTTTAAACACAAATGTTCTTCACATGTCACTTGATTTTGAACTGTACTCATCAGTAAGAAAAATTATAAGAAGAATGAAAGGAATTTACTTTTCTCTGTGACTTTTCGAAAGTAACAGAAAAGTGTTTTAAGCTTCTCTGGTTTCCTTGATGAACGTCCCTCAAACAACCTGGAAGAGACCAAAAATAAAAGAGGACTGGTTTAAAATGCCTTAATAATTCACAAAGTACTTAAACTTATATTTCTACTAAGTAATCACCTTCCAGAAGGTAATGGCAAAGAACTAGAAAACAGATTTGATAAAAGGGCATCTGGAGAGGACTAAAATCCACTATACCCAGGCTCCCTGAAAACTGTTGGAATCAGCCAGTACTCTCTACCCACCCACTTGTCCAATCCACTTTCCTCCTGGGAAAAGGTACCATTAGTCTCCCAAGGTCAAGTGTAGCCAGTCAGTTATTGCACAGCATGTTCCCTGTGGCACATACTTATTTATAATGAATAATATTATTAAGCAGTCATATAACTGAACAAAAATATCTAAAAAAAATATCCACATTTGAGTAGTGAAGTGAAGGGAGTATGATGGAGGGGAGAGACATAGGTATGACAAGAGACTGGGGACTGAATGTACAATTTTTGGTAATTAAGCAGATCTTGCTATAGATAAATGCGCCCTCCCAATGCTCATATGTTGAAGCTGGAATTCCCAATGTGGTTTTATTTGCAGATAGGGCCTCTGAAGAGGTGGTAAAGGTTTAAATAAGGTCATAGAGTACAGCCCTAATCTTACAGAACTGGGGTCCTCATAAGAAGAGGGGGAGACACCTGGACTCTCTGCCATGTGAGAATAAGGTGAGAAGGCAATAGTCTATAAGACAAGAAGAGAGGCCTCATCTGGAACAAAATTCATTAGCACCTTGGTCTGGGATGTCTAGCCTTCAGAATTTAAAGAAAATCAATTTTTGTTTTTAAGCCACACAAGCTATAGTATTTGTTATGGCAATTAGAGCTGACTAATATAGATCCTTTGCTTGGTTACCAAAACAGTGCCTATGTTATCCAGTTTACAGCAACCTAGATTTGCACTACTTAATTTGGTTTTCTTTGAAATGATGTGGCATTGTTATTGGTAACATAATTCAATTTGTCCTGAGGAAAGAAAAGCAGGACTTTAGAAGCATATGACCTGAATAAGTAGTTCTCTAAAAGATTTCTCACACAAAAGGAGGCTTTTGGGAATAAAATCTAGCTTTCCAAAGGCATTTAAAAATTACAGGAAAATTCATTGGCTATAAATGATGAGGATTCTCTGCCTCTAGTCATATACTCTGACTTTAAAACCAGAAACCCTTCAAGTAAAAGTTCACTTTAATAAGTGCTGAAATAGGTAACATTTTTCATGATTAGAAGAGCAATCTTATGTAACTATGCAGAGAAGGAAAAATAATTTCATGAAAAAATCCTACTGAGCAATTGAAATGAATTAAGAAAAGGGAAGGAAATGCGGATTTCAAATGATCCTGTTTACAAGGATCTGAAATCTGTATTCAGGGTCAACTTCTGGCAAAAGAATTTATATGAGTATTTCCTAAAAAGAATACTCATGTTGGGTAGCATTTTAACCTAATCTAAAATGTAATCTATTTTTAAAAATAGTTCAAAGATGCTTATGTGATAATTTTTACTCATTTAAAGAATTTAAAATATTAAAGACTCATACTTAAAATGCAGTTGGCAGCTGAAAATAGGCTCTTTGAGAGTACAGGTTTCAGCTTGATTTCTTCTGCAATATGTCAACCAGTGTAGAGTTTGTTTAAATCAAAATGATAGTCAAAATGAAGAAGGCACTTGGCAGTTTAATTAAACATCCTATACCAATAAATATGATTTACTAAATGAATACTTTAGGCTTCACTGCAAAATCCTTTTCTAGGCTTATTACTTATAGATGATAGCAGTATGAATACAAAAAGCAGTCACTACCTTTTTCTACAGATGAATTGATATATTGCATAATTCAATTAAGAGGGAAAAGTTCTTCTCCAAAAGAACTACTGCAGAGAGAAGACAAAATGGCTGCTGCCCTTAAGGAATAATTCCCCAAACCACAAAAAGAAAGTGTCCCTAGCTTCTGTGTATGAATCAGCTGTTTGTAAAATTTCATAAAAGTCCACATATTTCACAACCATGATGACAAATTGTTAACCTCAGGATTCTCTTGGGACTGCAGATTTATTACCCTGGTGATATGGACTTTTCTAGAATATCATATTGATGTTGTATCACTACAAATGAGTGTCACTTTACTAGTCCAAATCTTAAAGGAACAAATCAAGGAGAATATCAATGTATTACAATTATTTACTGCTCTATGTCTAATTTCAAATCATAATGTAACCAAAATATGCTTTCCCATCTGAGCCAAGAACTGTGTTTGGGGGGCTGGGTGGAGGGGGTGAAGATAAATTCAGAGAAGATAAAGCAGGTTTAAATCCTTATGATAATTCTCAGACTTGGCTTATTATGACATTTCAAAGAACTATGTATAGCCATCTAAATAAAACATTATCTTATTATGCAACAAGTGAAAACAGAAATACATAGGCAACAAGCATTAATGAAAGTCATCACAAGAGTGATGTTCTCATACATAATATGAGAAACTGTTGGAGCAGGAGGGAGAAAACAAAGGGTCTAAGCTTGGAAGACAAGATGATGGGGGAAGGCAAATCAAGTCTGATGTAAATGGGGATGGAGAAAGAGGGAGCCTATGAGATACAGATACTCACAGAGAGGTTGGGGGGAAACTTAGAAAAACGAAGCATCATCTGAGTTTTTAACTTCCCAACACCTTTCTCTTAGTTTAGATTTTTAGTTTTGGGAATATATATTTGGAGGTGATTTTGACTTGGCAGCATGTATATAAAAATGCCCACAAACCAGGCCACTAACAACCCCTGTGCATGTAGGGAAGATTCTCTAGCATTTCACTAACTCAGAATTACAAATTATTTTTAAAAGAAACAGAAAAGGCCAGTTAGGCACCCAGACTCTTTTTCTAAACAAAACATTTTGCATTTTCAAGGGAAGAAGTCAATCAAAGGTCAGAAACTTATTAATTGGTACCTTCTTTTCATACTTATAAAGCGAAACACAGTTTAATAAAATCTTTCCCTGGATGGAATATTGATAACATTACTGGAATTGAATTCTAGACACACATACCCACGCCATTTTAAGTAAAGGATTAATTCCATTAGTATACAGTAAATCAAAACTAAAGTACTATAACCTTCACTTTAAAATAGAAGCAAGTGATAATGTAGGACCCAGCCAGAAAGTCATTTCTGGCTCTTCTGTGAGGCACTCTGCCATATGGCTCCAGCAGCATTTTCAATCCAGGGAAGGCAGATGTAAAAGCCTCCTGGGCTGACCACTGCAGAGACCCACAATTTATCTCTGACCGTCTAGTTTCCATGCAATCTCAGAAGCATCAATGCTAATCACATTGGAAGCCTTTATATGAGTGTTTAGGCCCTGAAAGGCAAGCAGGGGAAAAGGTCAGGGGTATTTAACATAACTAAGCAGGTCTGGAAGAACACAACAATAAATAAAAAGGGAAGACTTATTCAATTTATTGACGTCAGCCTTCCACCACTCTTGACATTTTTCTTATTCAATCAACTAGCTACTATAACTCATTTGAGATTAAATATACTCATACACACACATACCACACACACACACACACACACACACACACACACACACACCTCTGAACTGCCAAAAATGACTCATTTTAATAGAAATTATACAAAAAAGAACCCACAATAACAACAAAATGCTATATAATTAGATTACCAAATAGCTCATTAGATTAGGTACTTGATCTTTTAAGCCACATGAAAAGGGAATTTGGGGTTGTCTTCTATTTCTGAAGTGCTCTCAGAGCATTCTGCTCTTAAAAGGCAATGAGATATAATGAAAAGCACTGAGTTTGAGCAGAAGGCAGTGTTCGAGTCCTAGTTCTCTTGACAAGTCCCTTACTTACCATGAACCTTAATAGTAAGAAGCTTCCCTACCTAAAAACTTCCATAGATAGAATCAAAGTGAGCCATCAATATCATTCCTATTGTTTAGTTTAGATCCATTAAAACACATTCCATCTTATAAAAGCCCGGCTGCTAAGGAGTTCCTACAACAATTATAAGATTATCACAGGCCTATCTGCTTTAATTCATTTTCAGTATTCTGCTATCCAAAAAACATCCATTAGGCTTTTCACTAAGGTTCAAGAAGTAGTAATTCTGTTCATTCAAAGGGAGCTGTATAAGAGGGTGGTTAAGGGACACTGCTTTTAGAAGCAGACTGCTTCTTGAGTTGAATCTAAATTTTACCAGTTACTGTGTTAACTTGGTGCAAGTAACCTACCTTCTCTAATCCTCCATCTCCTCTAATCTGAAAAATGGAAATAACAACAACTAATCAATACCTAATTTAAAGTTGATGTGGGGATTAAGTATGAAATAATTTAACAGTGATTAGCACATGGTAAATGCTTAACAAATATTATCTATTATTATTGGGAAACATTCTCAAGCTAGAAGATTTCAGATAATGTCAAGTAAACTGAGGTACTTGGGGTAAAATAAGATATTATATAATACCCAGCAAAAAGTCAATATACATTTGCATAAACTGCTTACACTGTTCTAATCTATATTCCTTTCCTTAAGAAAAATGGCTGAGCCTTGTTTTTCATCAAGCCTAATAGGTAAACACTTGGCCGATCTGCTTAGTCTTCAGGATAAATCACCATGAACAATGAAAAAGATAAAATCACCATTGCCAAGAAGCCCTAGAGTTTCCCTGTCGGAGTTTAGTTGGTTATGAAAATTTAACAGTGGTCCATCTTATGCTCTGCTTGTAGCCCTTGCTGCTCTGCCACTGTGACTTATTTTTTTAAAAAAATGTTTTGTTCTCTTCCTTTCTCCCTCTCTTCCCTAATCTCTCCCCCTCTCTAATCTCTGGGGAAACAGGATTGCCTTTCTTCTCCATCCTAGACAGAGCACACACCCACCATAGGAACTAAGTATTCAGACTCTGAGAATGGCACCAGAAATGACTATCTCCCCAAATTAACAAGTGAATTGCAATTCTGATAAATAACAAGTGGAATATAGCCTTTGAATAACCTCTTTAAAAGCCCCCCATCCCCCTGATGGGCAGAATCACAGCCTCTGGGACAGGAGTCCCCTGTGCTTCTCCTTTGCTAGCAAAGCAATAAACATCTTTTTCTTTTCTGACAAAACCATGTCCTTGTTATAGGATTGGCATCTGGGACAAGGACTGAGCTTTTGATAACAAAAGTATAATAACTGGTTTATAATACTATATGTAATAAAAAGCAGGAGAGAAATGGAAAAAAATTAAAAAACCAAAACCAAAAAAAGTCAAGCCTCCAATATCCAAGCTGATGAGATATAATTGGATAAGAGGCAGCATTCCTAAGAGCTAATTCAAAGTTAGCATCCTCATGGAAACTAACAACTCTATAAAGTTGCATTCCAAGTTTTGCAACCTGTGATCTAAGGAAATCTAATTTCAAATATCCTTCAAAGTGCTCAAACTAAAAGCATAATAATATTTGCAATTATTATATGTCATAGCAAAGCAACAAAACTTCTTTTTCCTTTTTCTCAAAACTGCATCCTTACTTTTCAGTAACAAAAGGAGTCATGGATCTTTGGGGAAATGGTTGATTCCAGGACTGGGACACAGAAAATATAGGATAAACCTAGAATATTTTGAGTCCAGAAAAAAAGGTAATGCTCAAAAAAAGAATGGGGACTTGTCAAAGAAAAGTCCTGAAGGAGCCCTAATAGCCAGAGCTAGAAAAATTTTAGCAGCAAAAATGAATAATGATTGTAATATCAATGAATCCATTTTGATAGTAAAAGGGACAGTTCTTCCTTGTAAGAGTGCCTTTACAGTGGAAAAACCCAGCAGACATTACCTTAAGCTGATCACCAGTGCTAAGATGAATCATTAGCCCACTAAAGTGATGCACTAAGAACACAAGATATTTCTGTGGTATTTCTGCCCAAAATGTATGACCTCATTCTATTTGTGAAAGAATATCAGCCAAATACAAAACATTCTACAAAATAACTAATAAGTAGCCTTCAAAAGTATCAAAGTCATAAAAGAAAATAAAAATCTAAGGAACAGGTTGGAGGAGATCAAGAAAACAAATGCAATATGGGATGCTGGGCATAATCCTGGAATAGAAAAAAAGGAGTAGAAAAACTGGCAGAATGTAAGTAAGGTTGGCAGTTCAGTTCACAGTATTACATCAAATGTTAATTTACTGATTTTCATCATTTAACTATCGTTACAAAAGATGTTAACATAAGGTGAAACTAGGTGGAGTTGCATACAGGAATTCTGGGTATTTTTGTAACTTTTCTGTAAATCTAACATTGGTTTAAAAAAGTGTGTTTTTTTTTTTCAAGTTCATTTAAAAGGCAAATTAAAATAAATGGTTACTGCACCATGCCATGTTTAAAACAAAAACAGTATGTAAGACGAAAATGACTTTTTGGTTTGTTCCATGACCATACCTCCTACTTGGCACACTACCCACACTGATCCACCCTCAGGGTTGGGAGATGGGTGATCAAAGGTGGCGGAGGAAGGCATTATACACAACCTAATGGAAAAGAGGAACACATAACAATTTTCTGAAGACCCATTAGGTATTAGGGAAGAAAATTCACATTCTGTTCATAGACACCATAAAGATAATGCTCAAATGAAGAAAGAAAAAAGACTTGGAGGATAATGGATCAGAGAATGGGAGGAATGGGAAAAATGATATTCATTTGCTAAGAAGATGCCTTATTCTCACTTGGGAAAACTGACAAAATCTGAAGCTTTATCAACACTTTCATAATGTGCTAATTTAGTCAAAAATCATTTGTACATTTCTTTGTCTTCCATTAAAAAATATTACATTGATAATCGTGTCAAAGTCACTTTTCATTTTAAGTATATTTTTCAAGCCTCATGATTTTATATTCCTTACAAGATCTTTACAGAAATGACTTTCACTCCCACTTTAATATTATTTCAGCATATAAGGAATATAAAGTACAATAAATATTCCTGTGAATAGTCAAACTAAGGCATGTGGAATCCAGAGTATTCAAATGAGGAAAATAATCTGAGAAGGTGGAAAGGACATGGGCATTGTAATACTGAGATGAAATCTCAGTTCTGTGACTTACTACTGGCTCCTGGATCCCAATCAAGTTCTTTACCTCTATGAACTTTAATTATCTTGCCTGCAAAATGGTAAAAACATCACTTAACTCTTAGTAAAGATGAAATCAGATAATTGTACATAAAATGCTTAGTCCATGGCAAATTATTCAAAATTATTGTTCCTTTCACTCTTCTCTATTTCACTGTTAAAGAAGTGTTCTGAAAACATACCGATTAAAGTTAATGTCTGGGTAACTAGAATACTCCGATTTCATTTTAGCATTTCGTCGGGGAAATGTGCAGAAAAAAGCATTAGCTAAAAGACTGGCAATCTGTTCCTGGGACATTGTGATGGAATGATTCATCTTCTGTTTCAGGAGCGGTATTGGCTGATGGAGGAAACAAAAAATACAGACAAGAAAAGCAATAATTAGTTTAGCAATTTTGAAGGCAGAAGCACCAAATTGCATTTGCTAAATTAAGGCAGGAATAATTTCAGGCCACTCCTGAATCCTTAAATCAACAATATTGTTAAAGCCAAGGGCTGCTTTTTTTATGATTAAAAAAATGTAGTTGTTTGACAAACTACAGATTTCTAACCAATAACAATGATAGTGAAAAAAACACAAAACATTACTTAACTAGAGTGCTTAACCAAGTAAGTAGAAAAACATTACCCATGTAATAAAAAATTAAAACAAAAGATAAAACAAAAAAATACACTGAATTTAGGTATTATTACATAAATTAAATATTATTCTTATACAAAAAAATTGTCAGAGCAATATTTCTTATTCCTAATAAAATGACTTAAGGAAAATAATTGAAAACACAGTTCCTCTTATTCTAAATCACATCGTACAAGTGAGAATTTCTTTATGAGATCCAAATACAATTTTATTAAAGAAATTAATAGAACATGCAAAAACTTATGCATAATTTATAACAAGATAGGCATTTCTTACATAATCAAACATCCCAAATCAAGAAATATACAATAGAACATTTTTCTTTCAAATATTTTATGTCTAAAATGTCTTCTACTTGCACCAAACCCAAATTCATTGACTTCCACTATCAATACAATCCATAGGACCTGAGAATTATATTCAGTGTATTTTATTCTATTTTTAAATGTTTAAATATTTGTAAAAGATACACCAGTACAACCAAAGACAAACTTCCAGCTTATTAGAAGAACAAAGTTGTTTTCATCCAGGAGAAAAAGCTGGGAGCCATGAATTGATTTGTTCTACCCAGTGACTTATTATGGCTTACAAATTTAGATGTTTTTAAATCACAAATATGTCATTAAATGAAAAATAGAAACTTTGTGTCCTATAGCATGAGGGAGAAGTGAAGTGATTCATGCCTAAAGGATAGATACAGTTGATTATGAACTACACACTGAATTTAAAAAGCATTTAACTGAACACCACACAAGACCCATAAAGAGGCCAGGCACAGTGGCACATGCCTGTAATCCTATAGCTCAGGAGGCTGAGGCAGGAGGATCATGAGTTCAAAGCCAGCCTCAGCAAAAAAGCAAGGCACTAAGCAACTCAGTGAGACCTTGTCTCTAAATAAAATACAAAAAAAGACTGAGTAGAAAACTAGTGGCAGCAACACTGGGTACTCTGGGAAACTTTGTCAAAAAGGTACTACAGCTTCCTCAGTCTCTCTCTTGGAAGAGGATACCCAATAACCAAACAGAAAGGTCCACATGAACTCATCCTGCCACCAGCCATGTGAGTAAGCCAACTAAGTGGGCCTTCTAGCCCCAGTTGAACCTTTACAAAACCACAGCCTTGGCCAACATCCTGACTATTAACAAGAGAGACTCTGAGCCACAGCTTTTCAGCTAAGCTGCTCCTAAACTCATGACCAATAAAAACTGAGATGATACATGTGAATTGTTTTAAGACACTATTGAGGTCATCTGTTATGTAGCAATAATATCTAATTAATACATTCCAAACAAAATAAAGCAATAATGAATTATTTTATTTTTTTTTAAAAGTACCATAAACTCATTGGTTTAACAATATATCACTTTAGAGGACAGTAAAGGAGTGTATAGTATTAAGCTGTTTTGAAAATAAAATATCCCAATTCTATTATTATACTTTGAAATAATGATTAATTTTTTTAAAGACAGAGACTGTTTAAACAAAAAGAGGAAAAGAAGTCTAAGTAAACAAATGTCCACAATGTAAACTGAAGCTCAAAAATTGAACACTGCATCTTTAATGTCATTTTGTAGTATTCATTCTAGCCTCTAACCTTTCCCTTAACATAGCAAAATTATCATATTCTTGGGAAGAAACTGTTCCTCACCTTTTTCTTTACCATTCTTCTGACTTTGACCATGAGAATTTTAAAAACATCCAACTGTAAGTCTTAAGAAAGCTACAAAGGGGCTGGGATTGTAGCTTACTGGTAAAGAGACAATGGATTCGATCCTCAGGATCACATTAAAAAGAAAAAACATAAACAAAGACATGCTGTGCACCTACAACTACAACTAGTGAGGAAGTTAAATTCACTAACCTGGGTGCAAATATTTGGCAGACAGAGTGCAATTTTCACCATATCAGGCAAAATGGATTGGTATAGATGTTGAGCTTCTGCTTCTTCAAGTACCTGAAAACCAACAAAACATGTTATGTGAATAATAATAAACACTGGGTAATAACCAATGAACAAATATTTGTTATAAAATTACTAATTTATTTTTCATGAAAGCCCATAATAAGACGTTATCATCACTACCAAACACATGTAGAATCACACTAACTAAAGTACCAATAAACTTACAAATTTATTTCTTTTTATATATAATATACCTTAATGCTCCCCCAAAACAAATATCCCCCAAATCAAGTATCTTTCACTGTTGAGAGCCACAGCCGAAGGGGTCCCAGCAAACTTTCAGACTGCCAGCTGATGATTGGCTCATAAATGGTTTAATTTAAATTGGGTAAACAACTGTTGAGGATTGTTTTAATATGTGAACAAAAAAGGAGGTTAACAGATCTGTTTGTTTACTTTCACCTTTCCTTTTCATTATATTTAATAATTCTCTTCAAGATAATGTAAATTGTTAAGAAAATTGTTTTCTTTTAGTGCCCTCTGGAATGTTACATAATTTTTTCTTTAGCCATTATTGCCAGAATTCCTATCTTCATCCCAGTGCCAGTGAAGGCAAAGATAAAACCAATCTACAGCTTCTGCAATAGCCATCACTGAAATGCTTGCAGAACTTGCCTGGACTATGTATCACTTATATGCATTGTGAACTATCTGTTGGTGCAGCGACTTGTGGTAGTGTTGGGGTATTTTTGCT